TTGTGAAAAGCTCAGATTAATTTAGTAGGCATTTTCTTGACACCTGTGGAAAGTCAGCGTGTGTGAGGGCGCAGCATAATGGTGATGAGGCCACCCTCTGGAGCAAGACTGCCTGATGGAATCCCAGCTGCTTAGCTGTGGTGGTTTGAACAGGGGCCCTGATCTCTTAACCCCTGGGACCTGTGAATGTGACCTTATTTGGAAAAAAGGTCTTTGCAGATGTAAAACAAGAAGGATCTCTGAGGTGAGAGCGTCCTGGATTATGGGGCAGTGGGTGGGGTGGGGGTTCGACATCCAATGACAAGGGTCTTCGTAAGAGACGGAACAGAAAACACAGACACGGAGCAGGGGAAGGCCACCTACAGACCTAGGTGGACATTGGAATAATGCAGCTACAAGCCTGGAGCATCAGATGAGGAAGAGGAAAGAAAAGAGTCTCTGTTAGAGCCTTTGGGGCAAGTGTGGTCCTAGTGATACCTTCACTTTGGATTTCTGATGCTAGAACTGTGAGAGAAGAAAATTCTGTTGTCTTCAGTCATCCAGTTTGTGGCAATGTGTTACAGCAGCCCTAGGAAATGTATACATCACTTATCAGCTGAGTGACCTTGGACAAGTTATTTAACCTCCATAAATCAGTTCCTTCAAAGAAAAACTCTTGCCCCAGGTCTGTTGTAAGGATAAGATGCCTTCATTTAAGTGACTGACTTAGATCAGTAACATACCTAACATGCTCTATATATGCTGTATACATATAGCAATGCTCTATTTCTATCTGCAGGCAAATGCCATAGATCCAGTAAAGTGCTGGTTGCAAGTATCACAATTCGAGAAATAGAAAACTTCCAGAAGAAACCACTTCCACTCATCTCAATGCCTCAGGCATAGCTCTCAAAGAGTATGAGAAAGGAGCAGGAGTCCCTGCAAGAGCCATTACTTAAATGCCTCTAAATCTGAGCAGTTTGGTAGAAGTAGGACTTCTGAAGGGTCGTGTGCTAAGACTTCACAAGTACATCTGGTACAGACCGTGTGTATGGTTCCTCCAACCTCCTGTTCTCCGTGAGATTGGAGCCTTCTGCCTTGGTAGCTGTAAGGACTCCAGTCTAGGGGCAAGGGAAGCATGGTGGTCTGCAGGGAGGGGATTTGTTAGAGCACTGGTGAGTGAACTGGTGTCTAGGAGGCTACACTTCCTGTCTCATGTCCCCCCTTCCTATTATTACTGGGATCACTGTTCTATTTTGCTGTGGATCCTGGTGTCTTAGTCCTTTCGTGTTACTATAACAAAATTATCACAGACAGGCTGGCTTACAAGCAACAGAAATTTACTTCTCATAGTTGGAGGGTAGGAGGTCCAAGATCAGGGTACTGGCGGATTAGGTGTCTGGTGAGGGTCCCTTTGTAATCTAACCTCCTGGCAGAAGGGCCAAGCTAGCTCTCCAGACCTCTTTTATAAGGGCACTAATTCCAACCATGAGGTCTCCACCTCCCAGCAGGCCCCACCTTCTTTTTTTAAAAATTTTATTTATTTATTCAAGAGAGACACACAGAGAGAGGCAGAGACATAGGCAGGGGGAGAAGCAGGCTCCCCGCGGGGAGCCCAACACAGGACTGGATCCTGGGACTCTGAGATCATGCCCTGAGCGGAAGGCAGATGCTCAGCCACTGAACCACCCAGGTGTCTCCAGGCCCCACCTTCTAATACCACCACCCTGGGGGATAGGATTTCAACATATGAATCTGGGGAGACACAGACACGCAGACCATAGTACCCCAGAAGGCATGACTCTAAAATGAGAGTATCTTCCAAGAAGAAATCTTAGATAATAAAACCTCATGTCAGGGAAGACTCAGGAAGTTTTAGAGCTCCAAAGATCATTGTTCAAATGTTCATCATGCTCAAATCATTTCGAACAACATTCCCATTTTACAGATGAGGAGTGTGACTCTCAGCCAGGCACAACAGCTGATCCCAATGAACACAGGCTCTGGTGGCAGAAGCCAGCTGCATGTCAGATCCCCTGCTCTAGGGATGTTTGTTCTAGTAAGTAGACCTGGATTGGAAAATTGTGAGGGACCAGAGCAAACATTATTTCTGCTAGCCCTACAGCTTAGTCTTAGCATAGTCCAAACCAAAATTTGGTTTTGTTAATGGAGTGGGCCAACTCTCAGCTCTTTCAACATCTCTGACTTTTCTAGGGTCTCCAGAACAGTCTGGATCTGTGTAAGTGGGCATGTGAAATTCAGCCCTGGGCTTTGTATCTCTGAGCATATTTTCTAAAAGCAACAGCAACACTACTTCCCATTGAGAATAATTGGGGGAAATTAGAGTATCCATGCCTCTTGACAGCGCCTGATGTATCGTGGGAGGGAGATATACATTAGCTATCATCATTTTTATTTCCACTCACTATGGCTTCACTTTGATCGAACTCCGCACTGTAAAGTGAAGGTGATAAAAATGGTCTACCGGAATAGAACTTATGAGCATGAACTCAGGAACCAGACTGCCTGGGTTCAAATCCCAGTTACATCCTTTTAAGCTGTATAACCTTAGATACATTATTTGATTTCCCTATGCTTCAGTTTCTTCATCCATAAAGAAAAAAAAAGATAACAATGAATACATGCAAAGCTCTTAAAAGAATGCCTGACTCATAGTATATGGTCAACTAAGTGTTTACTAGACTAGTTTTACTTATCCCACAGGACAGTCCTGAGATTTAAATGAGATGCATATTCAGAAGGCCCCAGTGTTTTCAGCTGTTAATCATCACTATCGTCATCATCGAGTGATTGAACCTTTCCCCCACCATGGTCTGTTTTTGTATTTGTTTAATACCTAACGCTTACTGACATGTATTACTGATGCATTTGTGGAAAGCACTGTGCAAAGCCTGTGTACTTAGAACAATACTGAGCTGGAAGCCAGGTTTTCATGAGTTTTCTTAGGCAGCTTCTATCTTGCTGCTGGTGAAGCATGTAAGATGAGACTGGTGCTCTGGGGGGACATGTCTATAGAAGACCCTAAGTGGAATGGCTGTGTGGTCCTCAGGGTTTCCTCTTTATTGGGAATGGGCTCAATGCAGAGAGTCTGAGATCCAGCGGTCATGCCTGTATAATATGCCATTATCCCCTGGCCATTGCTAACCCACTGTGTGGTGGGCCCCAACCCTGTCCCCAATCCTGGATCTCAGGAAATAGGATCAGCCTGTTTCCCATGGCATAGCTATGCAATGTGAGGTGGGGAATCTTTAGCTGCTAAGTTTCTTGCCCAGGCTGCAGTAGGAGAGGAAGAAATTGATGTGAAGAAAAAAACAGAGTGAGCACATGAGGAGCGCCCTTAGACCATTCAAAGCCATGGGACTTCATAGTATCTTCTCAAATAATGTGGGAGAGCCTGTATCGTTCCAATACATCTCCTGTTTGACCTATGTGGTATTTCTGCTACTTACAACCAAGAAATTCTTCCTTTTCCTCCTAGAACCAGCCCACATATTTCCAGTTCTATAATAAATTTTCTGACCCCCTCCCCCACTCCAGCATCTTGAAACTCTCCCCCACTCCAGCATCTTGAAACTCCCTCTCCATAGCACTCCCTAGACCCCTTACAGTACTAAGCTTTTTTTTTTTTTTTTTTTTTTTTTTTTTTTTTTTTTTTAGTACTAAGCTTTTTAAGGACAATGTTCAGCATAGCATTTCATCCAGTGCTGGTGCCCAATGATAGTTTGACCTTGTTTTTAAATGAATATGTGAATGAGGGCATGCAAATTGCAGCTGATTGACAGGTCAGATTATCTCTATGATCTTTCCCAAACTGGAGACTCTATGGGGCTAGGTTATTTGTGAAGGGGGACTCTGAAGAGGCTCAATGGAAGGTTCTAGAACTCCAGAAGTTGAAAGTCTCAATTTCATACTATTCAAACTGTACTTCCTCATCTACGTCTTTCTGCTTCATGGCTCCAGGTTGTATCTAGCCACTCAGATGGTTTGGAGTTATGAATCACTAACATCCCTCTTAGACTTACAAATGGAATAAGAGGAGATGACGAAGGGACAGAGATACTGAAATTGAGAACTGACTTCAAGAAAAACTAACAGGAAACATGTGCTACATCTGTGGGAAAGAGAAATCTCCAGAAGGAGAAGTGAAGTGAATTACAAGCTATGAAAGACAAGAGAGGAGCCGGTGCCTGAAGGAACCTCATCTCATCAGTCACCTCAGTGAAACAAACAACTAGATTGACCAAAGCTCTACGATGTTCGAGTTCTCTGTTCCCAGCAACCTAAAAGTTACATTCATCTGCATAGCTTGATCCCAGGGAAAGCCTGACTGGGGACAACCTGACTGCAAAGGGGCACAGATGACTAAGTCTACTTCCCTCAGAGGGAAAGACCTGGGGCTTTGGGCGATTTCTTTGAAGTCCCCCTAGAGGGCTCTAAAGATTGTTAGTGGCATCTGGTCTTTAATCCTGGACATTAAGCTTGTTGATTTTTGCCCCAGACCATCTGTTTCTCAGCTTTGCATGGAACCTCTCCTTTGTGACAAGTAGGGAAAGAAATACTGTATTTTTATTGTATTATATTTTTATTTCTTTCTGTTTTGCCTTTCATTCCAGTCACAGCATTAGAAAGGGAGTGTTTACCTGCCTGCTGATGCTCTGAAAGATTAGACACAAAGTGCTGACCTTGGTACCTAATGAACATTTCCTACAGGATGGGTGCCTTTGTCCTTCATGCTCTGAGAGGAAGTCAGGAATAGTGAGTGCACTCTTGTGACCATTTAATGTCTGTGCCCAGAGCACTGTTTGCACTACTTGCAGCCCTTATAGTTGTGAGGAATGACTCTGGGACCTGACTACCTGTTTGGATTCCATCTGAGCCTATTCCTAAGCAAGTGTGTGGACAAGTTAGCTAACCCGTCAGCTCCTTGCTTACTGAGTGGAGTAATGACAGTACCTACCTTGCTGCAGCATTGTGAAGGTGAAGGTGTGAAGGTTTTTTTTTTTTTTTTAGCACAAACGCATTTATTTACTAACCAAAGGAATGATCCTAATTAAATCAACACTTTGAAATAGTTGCATGTAAAATGTTTGTGGTAAAGATAATTGAACACAGTAATGAAAAAAAAAAGCAGTATGGAGATTTGCTCATTGAACTGAGCTTGTTCATCCTCACAGCTAATTCCTGTCCAAAATGATGATGGAATTTTTACTCTACTTTTTCATAGATCCGCGTACAGGTGACATTGTTCATGACGCATTCCACCACCAATTTCCCATCTTCCAACTTTCTTGTTATTGTGCTTTCCTTCCCATCCCATTCCTGATGTTGAACCAATGCGCTGTCTGTGAAGTTGCAGACAGTCTGAGTTTTTCTGCCATCAGCTGTAGTTTCTTCAAACTTCTCTCCCAGATTACACGAAAACTGTGTTGTTTTCAAAGTGCTCTCAGTTTTTATGGTGAGGTTTTTGCCGTCAGAAGAGATGATACAATCTGGTTTGGCCATTGCACCCACTTTTCGCAGAAGGTGAAGGAGATAATACATGCAAAGCACTTTGTTCTGTGTCTGCCACTTAGTAAACTCCCATGCACATCAGTTATTGTTATCTAATATAGTAATAGTATTCCTAATGTTAAAGTGGAGCAAGCTCTACACTTGCCAGAGAATTTGCAACAGGAACAGACCTTTCCTTGAGTTTATCTCACTCCAAAGAATTCAGTGTTGTCATATGTGAGACATGAAGATCAGGAATGGACATTTCCAAACTGGTGAATGCCTTAGGGATTTTTTCTCCATTGCGGTTCATACAGTTGTGCCCTTCATTTTCAGTCATCAGGATCATTTCAAAGCAGCCATGAGCTGGGGGACCATCACTCTGTGGTAAACTCTGTGCCACCTTGAATCAAGCTTCTCCATTTCTACAAACCCTAGTGGTAAGTGGGACAGTTGATGCAGACTTCCCTGGCAAATGCTTGCTGGGCACTGTAAAGACCCCTACTCTGAGGGGATTGCACATACCATCACTCTGGCCATCAGAATGAAGGCTGCATTAATGGAGATACCCTTCTGGACAAAAATGGAGGCTCTCTCGTTGAAAATCTTAGAAGACTCATTTTTTTTCCCCATTGCAACCACTATTTATTGCATGAGATTTCAGAAGACGAAACAAGTTTATAGAGACACCATGAGATTGTGTAAATAAAATGAAGTCATATCTGGGAAAGATAGACCAAAGAAAATTGAACTTCAAATGTCTAAATTGCAGTTTGTACTCAGCCAAGAGTCCCATTGAATTAAAGCACAGACTGTATAACAGTGTACACAAAATGCCTTTAAAGTTCTTCCATAAATTTAGGGAAAAGGAATAGTCTATTTAGAGCTACTAAAGCAAAATTCTTACTGTGGATTTATAGGCACTAGTACAAGTGGTCCCCAAACACCGTTTTTAATTTTTTTAATTATAAATAAGAAAGAACAGATTCTACCCCCACAACTTCCACCCCAGTACTTACGGCCTCCAGGCACGAAGGACAGAGTTCTTGGAAAAAAGGAAGGCTGCATTCCAGGCCTGTGATAGTGAAATTAGAGTCTAACTGAACATTAATTACATTTTAAATCCACTACATTTTTTCCTTTGAAATCCACAGATAATTCAACATCTTAGATGCTTTCTGTTGAATTTGTAGAAAAATTCTCCCAGAACTTTTAAGCCTTTATCTTTTTTTTTCTTCATTGGTGAACTCTACTAAACATTTATTTTCTTCTGTATATTTTTTAATTGGAGTTCGATTTGTCAACATATAGTATAACACCCAGTGCTCATCTCGTCAAGTGCACCCTCAGGGCCCGTCACCCAGTCACTCCATCCCCCCACCCACCACCCTTTCTGCTACCCCCTGTTCATTTCCCAGAGTTAGGAGTCCCTCATGTTTTGTCACCTTCACTGATTTTTCCCACTCATTTTCTCTCCTTTTCCCTATTATCCCTTTCACTATTTTTTATGTTCCCCATATGAGTGAAACCATATAATGATTGTCCTTCTCCAACTGACTTACTTCACTCAGCATAATGCCCTCCAGTTCCATCCACGTTGAAGCAAATGGTGGGTATTAGTCGTTTCTAATGGCTGAGACCACATCTTCTTTATCCATTCATCTTTCAATGGACACCGAGGCTCCTTCCACAGTTTGGCTATTGTGGACATTGCTGCTATAAACATTGGGGTGCAGGTGTCTTGGCTTTTCACTGCCTCTGTATCCTTGGGGTAAATCCCCAGTAGTGCAATTGCTGGGTCATAGGGTAACTTTCCCTCTTCGCAAATGACATGATGCTGTACATAGAAAACCCAAAAGACTCCACCTCAAGATTGCTAGAACTCATACAGCAATTCGGCAGTGTGGCAGGATACAAAATCAATGCCCAGAAATCAGTGGCATTTCTATACACTAACAATGAGAATGAAGAAAGAGAAATTAAAGAGTCAATCCCATTTACAATTGCACCCAAAAGCATAAGATACCTAAGAATAAACCTAACCAAAGAGGTAAAGGACCTATACCCTAAAAAATATAGAACACTTCTGAAAGAAATTGAGGAAGACACAAAGAGATGGAAAAATATTCCATGCTCATGGATTGGAAGAATTAATGTTGTGAAAATGTCTATGCTGCCCAGGGCAATTTACACGTTCAGTGAAATCCCTATCAAAATACCATGGACTTTCTTCAGAGAGTTGGAACAAATCATCTTAAGATTTATGTGGAATCAGAAAAGACCCCAAATAGCCAGGGGAATATTGAAAAAGAAAACCAGAGCCAGGGACATCACAATGCTGGATTTCAAGTTGTACTACAAAACTGTGATCAACAAGACAGTGTGGTACTGGCACAAAAACAGACACATAGATCAATGGAACAGAATAGAGAACCCAGAAATGGGCCCTCAACTCTATGGTTAACTAGTATTTGACAAAGCAGGAAAGACTATTCACTGGAAAAAGGACAGTCTCTTCAATAAATGGTGCTGGGAAAATTAGACAGCCACATGCAGAAGAATGAAACTGGACCATTCTCTCATACCACACACAAAGATAACCTCAAAATGGATGAAAGATCTAAATGTGAGACAAGAATCCATCAACCTCCTAGAGGAGAACACAGGCAACACCCTTTTTGAACTTGGCCACAGCAACTTCTTGCAAGATACATCTATGAAGGCAAGGGAAACAAAAGCAAAAATGAACTATTGGGACTTAATCAAGATAAAAAGATTCTGCACAGCAGAAGAAACAGTCAACAAAACTAAAAGACAATCTACAGAATGGGAGAAGATATTTGCAAATAACATATCATACAAAAGGTTAGTATCCAAGATCTATAAAGAACTTATTAAACTCAACAGCAAAGAAACAAACAACATAATCATGAAATGGGCAAAAGACATGAACAGAAATTTCACCAAAGAAGACATAGACATGGCCAACAAGCATATGAGAAAATGTTCCGCATCACTTGCCATCAGGGAAATACAAATCAAAACCACAATGAGATACCACCTCACACCAGTGAGAATGATGAAAATTAACAAGACAGGAAACAACAAATGTTGGAGAGGAAGGGAACCCTCTTGCACTGTTGGTGGGAATGTGAATTGGTAGAGCCACTCTGGAAAATTGTGTGAAGATTCCTCAAAGAGTTAAAAATTAAGCCTTTTCATAACAGTTTTTATTTCTTAATTTTCCTTTTCAATTAAGTGAGAGGATCAAGTGAATAAGAAATAATATATGTCATCCATTTAATACAGAAGTTCTGAGAACTATAGCTTTCTCTTGGTGCTTGCCATCATTATGAGTATTGAAATCAAGCAGTTTCTACATCCAGGCAGACCAGTCCTAGGCCGTGTTGAAAGAGGCATCTTAGGGGGGGAGGGGCAAGATGGCGGAAGAGCAGGGTCCCCAAATCACCTGTCCCCACCAAATTACCTAGATAACCTTCAAACCATCCTGAAAATTTACGAATTCGGCCTGAGATGTAAAGAGAGACCAGCTGGAACGCTACAGTGAGAAGAGTCCGCGCTTCTATCAAGGTAGGAAGACGGGGAAAAAGAAATAAAGAAACAAAAGGCCTCCGAGGGGGAGGGGCCCTGCGAGGAGCCGGGCTGAGGCCGGGGCGAGTGTCCCCAGGACAGGAGAGCCCCGTCCCGGAGGAGCAGGAGCTGCACCAACCTTCCCGCAGGGAGTTAGAGCAGGACCCAGGAGGGCGGGGATGCCCTCGGGCTCCCGGGGACACTAACAGACACCTGCGAGCGCAGGAGAGTGCTCCGAGCTCCCTAAGGGCTGCAGCGCGCACGGCGGGGACCAACCGGAGCAGCTCGGAGGGGCTCGGGAGCGGCTCCAGGGAGGGAGCTGCGGGGCGGGAGCGCGAATCCACCAGCGCAGGCCCCGGAGCACAGGGCGCCGGGACACAGCCCAGGATCCGGCCTCCCCCGGGACAGGCAGAGGCCGGGAGGGCCCAGGACAGTGAGGACGCTCCTGCCCGGAGCTGAGCAGATCAGTGGCCCCGCCCCGGAGCCTCCAGGCCCTGCGGACGGAGAGCCGAGAGCCCCGAGCCGCCCGGTAGTTCCTGCGGAGGCTGAATCCAGGCTTCCAGAGTTGCCATAGCAACTGCGACTGTTCCTCCTGGGGCCCCACGGGGTAAACAACCCCCGCTGAGCCCTGCAGCAGGCAGGGGCAGAGCAGCTCCCCCAAGTGCTAACACCTGAAAATCAGCACAGCAGGCCCCTCCCCCAGAAGACCAGCTAGACGGACCAGTGATACTCCCCCGTGTTCCAATACAACTTGTTTTTGGCCACTCTGCACTGAGCAAAATGACTAGAAGGAAAACCTCACTTCAAAAGAAAGAATCAGAAACAGCCCTCTCTCCCACAGAGTTACAAAATCTGGATTACACTTCAATGTCAGAAAGCCAATTCAGAAGCACTATTCTACAGCTACTGGTGGCTCTAGAAAAAAGCATTAAGGCCTCACGAGACTTCATGACTGCAGAATTTAGATCCAATCAGGCAGAAATTAAAAATCAATTGAATGAGATGCAATCCAAACTAGAAGTCCTAACGACGAGGGTTAACGAGGTGGAAGAACGAGTGAGTGACATAGAAGACAAGTTAATGGCAAAGAGGGAAACTGAGGAAAAAAGAGATAAACAATTAAAGAACCATGAAGACAGATTAAGGCAAATAAATGACACTCTAAGGAAGAAAAACCTACGTTTAATTGGGGTTCCCGAGGGCGCCGAAAGGGACAGAGGGCCAGAATATGTATTTGAACAAATCCTAGCTGAAAACTTTCCCAATCTGGGAAGGGAAACAGGCATTCAGATCCAGGAAATAGAGAGATCCCCCCCTAAAATCAATAAAAACCGTTCAACACCTCGACATCTAATAGTGAAGCTTGCAAATTCCAAAGATAAAGAGAAGATCCTTAAAGCAGCAAGAGACAAGAAGTCCCTGACTTTCATGGGGAGGAATATTAGGGTAACAGCAGACCT